TATACATTGACTCGGTCCCCAGTAGTGGAGGAAGAAGTATTCAGATCCTTTACTTAATTAAAAGTACAAATTTTTTTACATAGTTACATTCCACCAGTGGTCCTGGAGGATCAAGATTATCAAATTACAACAAATAATTACAGCCATTGTTGAACCATTGGATAAAAAAAAAAAAAATACAGCTACTAACAAACCTCTGCATTGCATAAAAATGAGCAACAGAAAACATGACACAAGCCTATGGAGTCAAACTCCTCAATGGGGCCCCCTGATGACCAGGATTTATGAATATCCCAGAGCAGTTTCCTCTCAAGACAAACCCTGTCTGTTCTTTCCATCCCGATGCACACAAAGATCTTAATAAAAATACTGGTTTTGTGTTACAAGTAATGCAAGACTTAGTTTAATAAGTTCTGGAGGGCCGACCTTTTGTTAGGCCTCATTTAGTTTTTTTCATCTTTTGCAATAAAGAATACAGTATCTGCTTGTCATGTTACTTTAATGTGCCATTCATATTGCAAAGTCTATGCAACGCATGTACAGGTCACCTTTTATTCAATGGCAGAGGATGGTAGCTATTAGCTAATGATGTATTATTTGTGTCAGTGGGTTGTCAACAGGGAATAATAGTGATTTAGTTTTGGTGCTCTTTTCCACGCTGAGAAAATAGCTGGTAATTTTGAGTTGCTCTAATGATTGGAAAACTAGTACCAATGGACGGTTGACAATGACTGATTCTAGCAATAAATCAATGGTGTGTGTTAGATGTTAGGTGTACAGTCTGTGTTTAATATAATGTAACAGATGACCAAAATGAAACGAGAAAAATAACAATCACAAGTTACGACTTGTCTCAAATGACGATTTGCTGCACTTGAATACAATAAATCCTCATTAGAATTCACATTATTCACACAGTAACGTCATAACGTCAACTGTTTTTGGACCAGTTGAACCAACCTTTTTGTGTTGTAACGTTGGTCTGGGAATGTTTTCTCTTCTTGGCTGGAGTTTCACAAGTGGTGGTTTTTTATGTCGCGTGTGCATCATCTTGGAAACGTAGAACGGAAACGCCTCTTTATCTCTCTTACTGAATTGTTCCTAATAAATGTTCTAATGCCTATGTGGAATGTTGCAGAAGTTCTAATGACAGTATAATGAGACATGTCACAGAGATTCTATTGACAAAGTCAGCTGAGTTCCAGTTAGAGGCTGGCCTGAGGTCAGTGGATGATCCAGGAAATGACTCTGGGATGTAATCATTTCAGCATTACAGTCAGACAAGGAAAAAACATTATCATAACAGTAACAACTCTTTTTGATCGGTTTACAGTCTCAGACATGAATTATACAGGTTTTTCAAATACACCATTCCTTCATGGCAGAATTATTTAGTTTCTTTATATTTTTTTATTTTCAGCAATTGGAGGATTTGGGATTTTAAAGAAATAAAGAATGGCTAAATTTGTGGATTGTAAGCCTAACATATTTGTGATGTAGTATTTGTAGCATTTAAGGAGTTTTTAAAGGTTAAACCCCTTTGAACGAGCCAAAAATACAAAAACCATGTATGTAAACATGCACCTATTTAACTGCTCAGGGGCTCAAGGACACAATTGAGCTGCTGGGCCTCCATGAACCTGTGCATACTACTCCTGTGCTGGAATATTACAGTATATATCGCTATGTGAGCGCAAGATAATGAAGGTTTTTTAGTAATACAGGGCCTAAAGCTAAGCCTGTTTTCAAGACATTTTGTCATGTCCCCACAGGTTTAAAAAAGGAAAGGTAGGGTGGCTAAAATCCATTTAGTTGCTTCAGTTTCAGGGTCCTTGTGCTGTCACACTGGTGAACAGAGCCATTTTTAATGTTATTAGTAACACATGTGCTGTTCATACTTCATGTTCATACATGACAAGTCAAAATGTCTGCTGTCAAAAATGCCTATCAGAGAATAAAGCAGCACAACCCACCGTTAGGAACTGATCATATCAGTGGATATTGTACTTGGACAAGCTGGAGCTTTGGGGGCCTTTGTAGATCTGTGCCTGCGAACATCTGCACACTCTGCCAAGTTGGTGATCCAGCCTTGAATAAGAAGCCCCAACACCCAGTCAAAATAAGAGATTCATACATGTGTAACTTTATTGGCATCTGGATAAACACAAATGCAAACATTAATATAAAGTACACTATAAAGTACACTATAAAATACACTACATTACACTACATTGATTTACTTAATTACACATCAGTCAGACCTTACTGTCACTAATACTGTATGTCTTTGGATAAAGAAGACTTTATACTCCTTTATGATGTTGTAGCAGTCCTCCACCACCAGAGGGCAGGGCAGGACATAACATTTCAGGGAAACATTCAGAACTGAAAAATGAGAATGAAATAAGCAAAAGCAGAGGAAAAAATTAAGAAAAGAAGAGTGCTTTGTATGTGTACGTACATGCATGCACACTGCATACATGCATGCAAACACTGGGTGTTTCCTATGATCTGAGTGGACCCCATTCTGAACTTCAAACAGAAAAGGTACATTTTGTACTGAAAATTACACTGTTTAGTACAAAGTATAACATGTGCTGCAGTTTCACTGTTTCAAATCAGCTTAACCCAGGACAATAAATGTTGGAAAACAAAGAATTTGGCACATTTCTCACTGTCCCATGGTGCCTTTTTGGAAGGTGGCACTGAAAAACCTCGACACAGCTATGTCTGTTAGGGGACAACTCTCTTATGCCATTAGGCCCTAGTAAGCTTGGACTGACAGTAACAGGTTTTATTATGACGGCAAGGCTTTTTCTGAGCAAGTGGTTGAGCCCACATAGGCCGGAGTTTACAGAGTGGCTTAAACTCATGGCAAAGACTGCTGCCTTTGAAAAAATGATTGCCAGCATAAATAGTTTTCCGTCTTATATTATTGGTGCAACACATTAGAGAGAGTACGGAGTACTAGTGGAAAGGGCAATAAGTGTATGTATGTATATATGTGAATGTATTTTTTGAGTGTGAGTGCATACGTATCTGTAAGAATTATTGGGGAGCCGGTGTTGTTTCTTGTGGCTGCCTTTTAAGTTGGGTGTTTTTTGTGTATCAATCATCTGTATTTTTGTATGAAGTTGATATGTTAAAGTGAATAAAAACCTAAATGACAAAATACATACATATATATATATATATATATATATATATATATATATATATATACTATATATATATATATACTGTATATATATATGCTGCATATGTAATTTTATGAGCAACCACTGATACGTTGCTCACATACTATGTGTCAGGCATGCGGTGGGTCTTTCTCTTCTCTCTCTCCGTATAGGTGAGACACAGAGTGCAGTTTTTGCCAGAACACAGCTGTAGCAGAGCAGTCAAAGGTTCGGCCTCCCTGCAGCTAGTGTGGTAACAAGTGTGTGTTAGAGGGTGGTAGCAGGGAAAGGGGCATTTTTAAGTGAAAGGATGCATTAGAAAGTGTTACTGTTTATTTATTACATGTTCCGGCCTGTGCTTTCCTGCTTTTTGCTGTGCCATGTTTTGTGCTGATGATGTTTCATTTTCCATGCCACAACACTCTTAGACAACACCACATAGTTTAATATATTTCATTCAAATTATGTATTGTAGCAGATTAAAAAGTATGATGAGGTTCCCTTAAAGAGACTGTTGAGCACAACACACACTAAGTCCTAGTGGGGCTATTTACCATAAGAACAGCCTGCCATACAGGAGGATAAAGTCTCTAAAGCACTCAGTAGGGAACATTATTAAACATTGTCTGAGGTTCAACAAACTGGAAACCACATCAATTAAATAGTTAATTAACAATAAAGTGACACAATATTAGTGTGTGTATGTGTGTGTGTGTGTGTGTGTGTGTGTTGGAAAGGTGTCTTTTCTCTGGTTCTCCTCCACAGGAAGGTCAGAGGTCAGCCAAGGAAGAGCTTCCCCTGAGCTGGGAGGGACTAGGTCCATTGATCTACTGGATTGCTAAAAAAGAAAATCTACTGTGATGACCACATGTTGTTTACAGATCCAATAAAAAAATCAAGCAACTGTGTATTTATTTATTTGTATAGTCCTGATTACATAAATACATACTAGCTTTGTAACAATTTTGAAGATGTGTACTTGGAGTGTGCTTTATCAGCAGGGACTGTAAAATAATAAAAGTCCTGGTAGAAATATGATATTGACACATTGTGTGTCTGCTTTGCTGGCATTATCCTTTGTGGCATAAATGCTGACAGAAAAATCCACAGTGGAAGTTTTCACTAACTCAATTACCCAAGTTTAAAGAGGGGATCATATTGGATGTGTTTTTAGGGGCGCTGGGAAGCGCACCTTTTTTAAATTCTCCACTAGCGGTGTCAAGTGAGCCGCAGACAGACCAAGCAGTGCCGGACATGGGGCCAATTTACTTTCGAAATAAAAGTAGGTTTTAAAAACTGCACCCAATTTACAGGTTTGACACAGTCTGTGGTTTGACTGTTGCCATCAAACAGAAGATTTTATTAGATCATAGTTGTATTGAGCTATTTGGAAGAACTTTATTTACACATGGTGTACCAAATTAATAATAAGGAAACATATTTTAGTAATTTAGTAAATTATTTCACAGGCACTAATGCACCAAATTTGAATTTCATATAGGCAGTCCTAATACAGTGTAAAACATGGACCATAGACTGTGACTAGAATGTAAAATATGAAATATTCCTTCCACTTTACAATCAATCAGTCAATCAAAAACGTTATTACAGACTCAAAGTCAAAATCTCACAACAAATACATATCCACAAACGCACATGCATACACACATACCTACACATAACAAAATCCATAGTAAATTAAACCTTTACAGCTCCACCGTCGGTAACACACAACATGGACTGTATAAAAGTCGTTAATGAGAGTTTATTCTAGAAAAATATTAACCGGAAGTCCACTCTCTGTCCTGTAGTCGGACTTGACGCCAGTCTACAACACGGGGGTTGGCAGACACACGGCGGCTATCATGTGAGGAACAGCTCGCTGGAGAGAACCGCGTCGCCGACATTAATGTGTTAACCGACCTGTGAGGATAGTTTGGGACTTTAACTTCAGACATTTTGCGGATAAAACCCGGACGACTCCAGCGGGACTGCTGTTTCACGGGCTCTCCGGGGTAAGTAGCTGCCAGCCGCACTTTCCTCTCTGAGTGCACGACTGAGCACTTAAGTTATCAGGAATGTTATTTTGAAATGGTTCAAATCTGACATTCAGGTCACACTGCCAGGGAAAGCATTGTTTTTTTGTCTGTGTGTAATGCTTGTTGAAGCTAATTGTTATGGGACTTTGCTGCTGTTGAATTATTTCTCTTTGGCTGTGATGGTGGAGGTGCAACAGGTGAGTGTGCAGGCCCCGAACAAATGTTTTATGATGGAAATTAGGCAAAGGACAGGTATGAACTTGCTGCAACTTAATGCAGTCAATGTAATGAGTAGTTACTAAGTGTAATATGGATATAAATACTTGGCTATCAAAAAATATTCATACTGTAATTTACAGATAAAAGGGACGTGTGAAATAAGGTTGGTTTTACCCGCATTTTTTATATGTGTGATCTATCTGTCTATCTATGTATCTATCTATCCATCCATCCACCTCTGGAAGGGTATAAAAGGAGAGGGGTCTTTAATAATCTCATCCCACAATGCACACTAGTAGCTTGAGCAGACGTCCCCCTTAAACAACCTGCAGGGAGGGACATCAGAAAGGACATGAAGTTGTTTGTCAGTTTCAGTGGGCAGGCAAATTAGCCCTCTGACTTTAGCAGGATAATCGCTTGTCAGGAATTTTCCCTCAGAAGTTTCAGAGTGGTGCCTGTGAACTAATAGTTTTATACAAGCGTGTCCCTCTTCACATCTTCCAGGTGAGTCCTAAGAGTAGCAGGTATTTTTACCTCCTCCAAAACTTGAAATCCAGTCAGGCGAGAAGGTTCGTCTCATCTTCCAACCCTCAGTTGTTATGGACTGATGTTTCAGTAGTCAGATAAACTTTCACTCAATTCGCACTTGAGTAATATAGTGGGTAAGTCTTTATTAGAGCTGGATCTGACTCCAAACTTGGACTTAACCCCACATCCTCTGGTGTTTTACTCCACTCATATACATGGGGTTATGGATTTGAGGTAAATAAGCATTAGGAAGCGCAATTGTTGCAAGTAGCTTGCTAAATGTGAGTGTTTGTTAGAAGCAGCTTGGTCAGCATGAAGGGCTAACAGGTCAGAGGTCCAGGACTTGGACAAATCCTTGTTAAATAGTGCTTTTAAGCAGGGATAATTGCAGAAAAAAGGCTTGTGTTACCTTGTTGCTGCTGTTTCCACACCATTACTGCTGACTAAACCATGTGCTCACTTTTAAAACTTAAAAAAGTAAAGAGTGTTTTTATGTAAGATCTTACATAAGATCTCTTGCTTGTTGTGCTTTTTGCATGTGATTTATCCAGACATTGTGAAACATCAGAAAACTGATTATGGGAGGTTTGTGTCATCAATATGAACCCTGGCCCCATTTTTAACCTCAGCAGCCTGTACGTTAATCCATGATATGTTCACAGAACGCAGACCTTCACCGGTACTCCAGCAGCAGCTTGTATCTTCAAATGTATTTTTCAGATCCCAGAGATGTCTGCCCGCAGAGATAAAATGTATTCCCAGGGCAAGACCATTTTTAAATGCAAATTCCACAGACTGTGCCGACCATAGCAGCTGACTTTAAGGTGCCCTGTGGGGTTTTCTTGTAAACAAACACAAGTTAGATTTACAATTACAGCGACTCAAAAAACACAATTCAGTTAAATTTTATTTATATGTGCCAATTCATAACAGAAGTTATCTCATTGCACTTTTCATATAGAGCAGGTCTAGACCGTACTCTTTGTAATATTTTTTACAGAGACCCAACAGTTCCCACCGTGAGCAAGCATTTGGCAACGGTGGCAAAGACAAATGTTCTTTTTAACTGGCGGAAACCTCAAGCAGGCTCAGTGTGGGTGAGAGACGAGACGCATTGTCTGCATCCTTGAGGTCTAACTAACGTGTTTAATGCATTTCCTTTTTTATAAAACATTTGCAAAACCAATTTTAAAACATTCAGTATCATGCATATTTTAATCTATAGCTGTGTTTGAAATTACTTAAACCTTATTTAATTGCAGTAAGCAGTAAATCCAGATTTCACAAATGCAGCTCATTGTGGGATTATTAGCAGAAAGTAGCGTACATGCACCACTTTTTTTCTGTTCCATTGTGGAACTTTTGGGGTTACTTCATACACTCAGAATTCAGACACTTAAATAAAACATTGCTCCATTGTGCTACTAGTTGTAAAACACAAGAGAGTGATACAGTGTGCAGAAATATTGGATTTAAACATGGTTGTGCCTCTAGGCATACATTCTGTTGTACCATTCATATCAGAAAGCATATATTAGATATAGTTGTGATATTAAAAACCTGATGCTGGGTGACAGGTGGAAAATAGCTGATGTTTGATGTTTCCCCTAGGGTTTAGGGTCAGATGAGGCTAACGGAGACCCTAAATCTGAAGGCAAACCTGCAATGCTTCAAAACATTGGACAGTAATTGTTCACATGCAAATAATCTTTAAATCACAGCACTCCTAAATTTTTAGAAAAGAAATTTTAAAGTTTGTGACGTAGGCTATACCCTAGCCAAATTACAGTAATGACGCCGTGTGTTCTTCAGCTTTGTCCCCTAGGTCTTGTTTGAGTGTTACCACAGTCTCATCGTCTTGATTTTTATGTGTGGGGTCTTAACGGAGACGTCTTTGTGTTGTGAATCATAACCGAACTGAATATTATAACACTTGGATGGAATTTCTTTTTTGCGTTTGCACAAGCTGTCACCTCCTGGAATGAGGGGGTGTCACTGCACATATCAGCACGGGGGGGGGGGGCAGAAAGACAAAAATACACCAGGGAGCTGAGCGTCACTGTTACTGGCTGACCAGCCGGGTCTGCTGTCAGATGAGAAAGGCCAAGTTGAATCCCACTATGTCAGGGTTTTCTAACGGTTGGTTTGAGAACCAAAATTTGAGGTGTTGGATGATTTGAAATGGCTCCTGGAAGGAAACTTTAGGTGAAGTCTTCAACAAATCATTTTATGTTATGATACATACCATATTTAAGTAAAATAATATGGCTTGTGGTTTATAGGCTTAAACCTGCATTTTTGACATTACCATTGCATCAGAAATTATCTGTAATATCTAACAGTTATGGAGCTTTTTTGCCTCTTTTTGTTCTGGTTTAATTTTACAGCCAGCACAAAACAGTCACAGTCAGCGACCATCTGACGTTTAGCAGCTAAAGAGCCTGACATTCTTCTCAGGCGTTGGTGGAGACCAACACAGAACTAAAAGTGTGAGTGACGGTTGGACTTGGCTCATCAGGTGACCAGAAACAGGACTCCAAAAGCAAATGCTTATTACATCCCGTGCCTGCTAGATAAAAGTAAGCAACTGTTTGCTAACACTTTAGCTGTAGCATACTTCATTATCAGGTGACATGATGTTACCTTTGTATTTGTCAGCTTGATTAATTGATCAAAAGACGCACTCCTCAAGAGTGCACCCAAACCCTCAAATTCTAGATCAGGCTTGATGGTCTGAAAGTGAGCTGTGTTCAGTTTCAGAACACGAACAATAAATTGTTGGAACATGACTGAGTATTGATTTCACATTTGAAAACCACTTTGACATGGCCTTGGAATGTAATGAATTGAAGCTTGACTGAGAAAAAGCCTGATCTTATGGCCTCTTACTTTTTGTAACTCTTGGATGTGTTGGATATGTGGACGTTTAAAACTACACTATTTTATCTTCTATTTTTAAACTCTTAACGTAGAAGAATGACTGTGATCTTTGCCATGAGCAACAGATTATTTTGGTGTCTCTCAAGCCAAGCCATCTGCTGTGTTTGTTTGTGTCCATGCTAACATGCTGGACAGCAGCAGTCCAGGGGTCTAATGCTTATTAGTCTCCAAAATCCTAGACTCCTCAAGGAGGTCCAAATTACACTCCATAAGGTGGGGTCTTAAATTTGGGCACACTAGTAAGACTATAAAATAAAATTCCTGTTTCAATATGTACCTTAATTTTAGTGTCACAGTTCAGTATGCTGTTGTTACAGCAGGGAAAATGACGTGAATTAACAATTATGTCATTTATTTCGTAAAATGTAAGCATTCAACAGTTGGCCTAGCTCACTGGCCATAAATCTTCCTTTTAACAGTTTAAGAAAAAATAAATGGCACAAATGTCAGTACACTTCCATTGTAACTTTGATTTGTTTGTATCTGCAGACACTGCTGTTAGGCTTATACGAAGAAGTGGTTGGCTAAATTCAAGGAACCCATGGTTGATGTTAAATGTGGATATACTGTATGGGATAATGACTATGAATAATTACTGCTATTAAGTTGTAGGTCTAATCCAGCCCCAAACCTCTACAGAGTGTGTGTTGTTAATGCGATGAGGATTATGGGTTTGATTTCAGGGCTCACATGCCCCAATTGAAGCTTATCTTAGTAGATGCAAACATATGGCATGTGTTATTCAAGCCGAGCTACTGTAGTCAGTGCTGGAACTGGTCTGACTCATAGTCTCACTCCTAAACTCCTATTTAGTCCCTCAAAGTCACTGTACCATAGATAAGGTGGAAGGGCAAAATGTAGGACTGGGGAAATGAAGCAATATTATGATTTACCAAGTGGAATTGTGGTGATAATATTTATTTTTATTAATAAAATTATGATCCCATGTCAGTTCTAATTAAAATAATGCATGAGATGATATAGCTTTTGTTTTTCATGTATCAAGATTTATGTCTGACACATTGAAGAACAGTGAACACAATTCATTGCACTGAAGATCAATTCGACTGTTTATATGTAATTTGTGATAAATTTATATTAGAAACATTATTTTTGCTTCGTTCTTGCCTTATTTAGGCTGGTAGGTCCTGGGTTAGATTTTATATTGGTCTTAAATGTTTCATGTTCCAGTTGTGTCAAGCCAAACAGTAAAATGTAGCAGTGTTAAAAACAAAAACACTTACAATCCAGTTAGATATAGGGCCCTGCTGCAAACACAGAGCTGTTAA